TCGCACCTGTAGATGAGCATTCCATAAGAATTGCTCCAGAGAGGATCCAGAATGTCTCTCTGGAAGGTGATGTTTTAACCATTTCTCTCCACAGGGACTATGTTGAATCTGTAGATCTGGCAGGTCATGCTCAATTCCTTGCCAGAATTGAAAGGGTTAATAACAACTTATTCTTTCCTATGCAAATAAATGACTTAGGAAGAAGTAGGAATGCAAAGCTGGACTTACAGAGTGAGAACAGCTATATTAGCAGAAGTCTGTTAAGGCAGATCGCTAATCCTAAAATGATCATGTACACTTCCCCACATGACAGGTGGATCCAGAATCTGGATGGCGAATCAGAGAGTCACAATGTGATAGCAAAGTGTTTACTATCTATTTCCATCGGAAATAAGACCGTTAAACATTTATTCTTAGTGATAGATGAACCTCGCTATCAGGTTTACGTTGGCAATGATGTCATACATCGCTTTGCCATACACCTTGACCTTATTAATTCCAATTTGTGGACAAGGTTAAAAGGTAATCCTTGTGGATACCTTCACGAGGAAAACGCCTTGAAATCAGGACAAATACTCCCATATGCGGTAAGTATCCAAGTTCCTGATGACATAACCATTCCACAGGGGACAAGTAATTTTCTATTACCCCTACAGGTCAAGGAGGGTCAGAGATTGGAAAACTCTGATGCCCTAATCTGTTTATCCAACAGGATACAACAATTAGGGATGGTGGTAACACATACACCAATGGTAAGTATTGGTAGGAATCCCACCTATATCATGGTCAACAATGTTACACCCAATAGTGTTACTTTACCAAAAGGAACATTATTAGGTCTAGCATTGGATGCTGAGTACTATACATTTGGTTTCCAAAACCAAATTATAGGCCTCATCCCTGAAGAATATTTAACTGAGGACGAAATTGTCGATCAAATATTCCATTCCTCCCCAGAAGGATTATTCACTATCCTATCTGTATATCCCTTCAACGTTGAAGAAGGCTCGTGTAAAATCGAAGAAGCATCTATCACCTTCGATCATCCGCTCAATGAGCAGGAATCACAAGAGTATCACGACCAAAGAGAAAAGGTAAGTCAACACCGAACTGACCTAACTTCTAGGCTTGAAGAAGCTTATGAGATAGGCCAGCCTGAAATCTTTCCAGGATTTCAGGAAAGGCTAGAAGAGCAAATATCTTTAGCTGACGGTTGCTCCAACGATGCTGAGCGGCAACAGCTAAAGGAAATCCTTTTGGAATTCCAAGATATTTTTGCCAAAGATTCCTACGACTGTGGGTTAACTAACCTCCACGTAGCCAGAATACAAACTGATCCAAATTTACCACCTGTATTTATCAAACAATATAGACTCCCATTAGCGTCATATGATGGTCTACAAGACATCATTCAGAATTTAAAGGAAAGGGGCATTATACGTCCAGTGCACAGTTCGTATAATAATCCGATCTTGGGGATTCTGAAACCTAATGGACAATGGCGTTTATGCGCTGACTTACGACAGCTAAATAAACGCGTCTATATGTCTGGTTGGCCAACGCCATACATAGACCAATGTTTGGTACAAATGCAGGGATCCAAAATATTCACTGCCATTGACTGTGCGCAGGGATATTGGACTGTACCAGTCCATAATGAAGACCAATACAAATTGGCCTTCACATTTGGAAAGCAGCAGTATACCTGGACCCGTATGCCTTTCGGTTATATAAACTCTGGTCATGAATTCGCTGTGTTCATGCATAAAGCTATGCCTGACGCACTCGAGAGAGGAACGTTATCATATGTCGACGATGTCTTGCTGAAAAGCACTTCCTTTGATAAGCATATCTTAGAGATTAGACATGTTCTCACTCAGTTAAGAGAGGCAGGGATTAAACTGTCTTTACAAAAGGCACAATGGTGTCGCACCCATGTCAATTTCCTCGGACATGAGGTAACTTCTGAAGGATTAAATCCCCAGAGGAAGAAGGTTGAAGCCGTACTAAAGGCTAAAACACCTTCAAACATCAGGGAATTAAGATCGCTCCTTGGTATGACTAATTACTCCCGTAAGTTTATAGACAACTATGCAGAAATAACTAAACCACTCTTACACCTGCTTAAAAAGGAAACTACCTGGAACTGGGGGGAGCCTCAGGACCAAGCGGTAAGTGAACTGAGGAGGAAGCTCACTCAGGCACCCTGTTTAGCATACCCAGAGGGGGGTAAACCTTCTATCTGGAGACAGGATATACCGATTTAAGCATAAGTGCTGTTCTGTATCAGAAGCAGGACAGTTTAAACAAAGTTATTGCATATGCTAGCAAGACTTTGTCACCTGTTGAAGTTAAATTCAACACGTGTGAGAAGGCGTTATTGTCGACTGTCTGGGCACTACAAAATTTTCGTAGCTATATCCAAGGTGAGAAAATAATTGTAGAAACAGCTCACCAACCTCTACAGTATCTGCAGAGTGAAAGAATTAGAGACGGTAATCTCTCTAACAGTCGGATTACTGCATGGACTCTATCCTTACAGGGATGGCCGTTAGAAGTCCGTTATAAACATAATAAGAGAAGCCCAGTTGCCCAAGGTTTAGCAGAATTACATGACTGTACTGCTCCATCTCTGGATGATAATGACACCGGAGATGACTTCCTAGAAGAGCAATTGCTATCCCCTTATAAAGTTTATGACGAGGAATACTGTCGACCACTACCGTGGGTATACATTGATGGTTGTTCATATCACCACGTCGCTGGTGCTGAACGGAAGTTAGTTGCAGGTATCGGAATCGCCTGGACAGGTGATTATCCTAATGTATCTATAGGATACAATATTGGTCCCAAAAGCAGTCAGATAGCCGAACTCTGTGCAGTATATAAGACCATTCAAATGGCAATAGAATATGGTATCAAAGAATTTGTTATTATAACTGATTCCAACTATGTTCGCAACAGTTTCGTCGAATATCTGCCTAGCTGGAAACGTAACCAAATGCTGAAAAGCAATAACAAACCTGTTAAACATGGGAAATTGTTTTGTAAAATCGATGAGTTGGTTAAGGAAAATGGTTTAACCATATATTGGAAGAAAACCAAAGGCCATTCTAAAATAGAAGGTATTGACAAGGATGGTAATGACTTAGCCGATTCACTGGCAAAACAAGCTGCCATCAATGGTGAAACCTTAAACATTGATGATCTTATGGGTTCAATTCATGTTGAAGCCATAACTAGACGACAGGCTAGAGATAATGCCGACTTAAACGTCGTGCAATGGAGTCAAGAAGCTCCTAGTGAGGACCTGATTACCAGTCAAAAGAATGATCCCGTCATAGGCATATTCTATAAACATATAGAAGACCCTACTGCCAATCCCATCACAGATGAGGATTGCAAAGATAATGAAGATTTACGAATCTTGATGAGATATAAAGTCCAATTTAGTATTATGGATGGGTTGCTGGTCAGAACTTCTAAACATGGTATACAACAATGGGTAGTCCCAACTGTATACAGAGGGTTAATGCTCCAACACGCACATGATGCACCTACATCTGGGCATCGTGGTGATAAGATCACATATGAGATATTGCGTGATTATGCATATTGGCCACATATGTTAAGGGATGTTAAGACATACTGTCAGGGATGCTTGATTTGTCCGCAATATCAACCCCATGGTCCAACCCATCGTGCACCACTTCAGAAGAGAGGGGTGTCATTACCCTGGTCTGATATTCAAATTGACTTTATAGGTCCTGTAACAAGATCTTCAAGAGGTAACAAATACATGTTAACCGTTACATGTATGTACACAAAGTGGATAGAATGTTTGCCTTGTAAAGAGAACACGAGTACCGTGTGCGCCACTTTGTTGATTAACCATGTCTTTTCCAGGTTCGGTCTGCCTCAAAGAATTGAGTCAGACAGAGGTAGTCATTTTACCAGCGAAGTAATGGCTAAGATGTGGAACATTCTAGGTGTTAAACGAAAGCTACATATTGCATACCGCGCTGCGTCTAGCGGGGGGGTAGAGCGATATAACCAGTCTATCGTTAATATTCTAAAGAAATATGTTAAGGAGTCTGGTAAAGACTGGGACATTAAATTGCCCCTAGTTTTAATGGCGATTAGAGCTACACCTAGCACTGCTACCAAATTGTCACCTTTTGAATTGATGACAGGAAGAAAGATGGTTTTACCACAGCATTTACTATATCGTACTTCGGATCATAACTTGATCAATGCTGCCACTACGCATCAGTATATCGAAGATTTGCGCAAGCATTTACAGCATGCGTTTGCTTTTGCCCAAAAGAATCTAGAAAAAGCAGCGACAGGGGTTAAGACCTATTACGATCTAAAAACCACGAAAAAGGAATATGAGATAACAGATCAAGTCTATCTGTATAACTTTGCGCGAAATCAAGTAAAGGAAAAGAAATTTTTACCTTCTTGGAAAGGACCATATGTCATCATTGACAAAATTTCCCCAGTAGCGTACAAGATAAAAATTCCTAAGGATGGTGATTTTATTGAAAAGTGGGTTCACATTAACCAGTTGCGTGCTTGTCATCCTAAATCTCAATTAAGGATTATAGGTGTGGATTCGGATGCAGAAGGGTGAACGACTAACCTGGATGAATGCTTGATTCACGTGGTATAGTATGATGTGAAATGTTGTGATGTGCCATGATCTCATGTACGTTCATGTCATTAACCATTTCCTTGCCATCCAATAACTACATTTTATAAGCAGGTTACTAGCTTGTTTAACTGCTATAGGCAAATTGCTGAAGAGTCAGTAATAAATGTAGTGAGGGATGAAGTTATAAAAATAGAATTAGACAGAATACATATGTTGATGAATCGTAATAATGTGTTGTCCTAGGCCAAGTGATGTCACACTGTTATAAGTTTGTATACTTAACAAACCTTGAATCATTAGTAGATAAGTCTGAAACGAGTTCCTGATCCGTGACTGTCGAAAGATGTCCAAGAAGGATGTGGCGTGTTTCTGGATCATACTGCTCCTGTGCCAAGAGCTACGGACCGACCCGATCGCAGAGATGGGACCATCCTCCAGCATCCTGATTCAAGAGACACCAGGGTTCATCTTGACCGAGAAGAGGATCCTGACTTGACGTGTATTCGTCAGCTTGGACCCCAAGATTTCCATCGAGAAGGCATACAACATTTCATCGATGCAGCTTCCTGAGTTACAGACTTGGTACCAGATGCACCTCCAAAGAGCACAGGACCGTGTGCGAAATATCTTGGAGCAAGCCCGGAAACCATTTGTATCCAGTTCTATTCCGATGAGCAACCGACCCAAAAGGTTCCTCACCGCTATAATTGTTGCATTAGTTTGTGCCACTGTCGGTGCAGTTGTCGCAACTGGAATGTCTGCAGCCAACTCTATTACTGTCCAAAAGCTGGATATGGAAATCTATGCGCTAAAGCAACACATTAACGATATTCATCAGGTGATACAACAGCAAAGAACACTTCTCCAAGACGTGTTAACTATTGTGGAAGACACAGTTGTTACAACAAATTTGCATTAGGAGTTAATTGCCAAATCCACTGAGTTGCACCAAAGTCATGACTTATTTAAGCGTGAACTTCTATTTCTGCATGACCCAATATTGTTCCACACACTTGCTTTTCTTGATGAAGTGCAAACTGGAATGATCGAATTGGCAGGGGGACGCATACCTCTGTATTTTGTATCCAAGGATATTGTTCATGCGATGCTTGCCAATGTGGATGGAGAGACAATTGAGCCTATGCAATTAAATCTGGCCTTTGAGATGGGGAGCGCTATACCTCTCTTAATTGATCCGGAACGTATGGAGATTTGCTTTTTATTGGCCATACCATATGTAACTCCCAAAGACATTTTTCAAATGAAAATAATGTACTATGTAATAATGATATTATGGTTGATTGTACTAAGTGTAAAGTTCAAAACTTTTACAGGTACAAATATATACAGAAATGTTCATTCCACGCACGGGCCTATGTTAGAAATGATGTGATTGCACAATATGTCTGATAACTTCTATAGTGCTTATTCATAAGCTAAATTAATTTTGGCTATGAAATGCACTAAAGGGGGGTTATGTCAGAGTATTTATATCGGCAGACATTTTGTGCTATGATAGAAACTAAAAGTGTATATTCTGAGTCACTCTGAACAGACCAGACTCCATTTTGTTATTTCAAGTTAACAAAGAAGACACTAGATTTCTTTCTGTAAGACTGGCCTCTTTGCCAGAGCTAAGGAATGCATAGTATAAACAAGTGATAAGGAAGGGGGTTGGACAGACTGTCTAATGCTAATGCAATATAATCAAATCTAAACCCAGACAATTGTGACAGAGAAGATTAAATAATAAAATTTAACTGTCTATATACATATAAGGTACCATTGTATGGAAAAGGGTAAACTTAGTTCATGATCTGTCATATCAGAAATTATAGCAGATTTGCAGACACATAGTCTGGACAAAATTTAAAGAAACCCTTTGATCTTTGAAGGATACGTAAGTTATAGCCACTATCTAGATAGGCCAAAATGACGTCAAAATAGCCACCAGGAAAAGTTAACTCTTTCCTGGATAGGTATGTTTAGTGGGACAAGACTGCCCTCTACAGACCAAATAACTAATTTGCGATCTGGAAGATAACCACACCTCTAGTGTTTCTATTGGGTTATCAACTGATGACGTACAGAGAGTCTGGCCCTTTAAAAGTTAAGACAAAGGGAAGATGAGGAGGCAGATGCAGGACATATGCAAAGGAGAGGAGAGAGGAATTGGAAGTTTGGGGACTCCAACTCGGACAACATCTGAGACTAACACTCTACTCCTAAAACTCTAACACTTAGAATTTACTGACTTTCACCAACACCTCCATGCAGAGAGACATCCGAATAAGTTCCTGAGACTATCTACCAATCGGATGAAATATCTACTCAACTGGTAATTATACTGGTTTCATTTAATTAAATTAAATTAATTAAAATGTATTAATAGCATTATATATGACTGGATAAAGCACGGTCAGATTTCCATATTAAGAAATCTTAGCTAACTAAGAATATATAGTTATAAATATTCCATTCTGCAGGTGGAATTAAGAATAATTATATATTGATGTGATATTATCACGTGTTAGCATACCGCTGTTTTTATCCAGGTGTATTGATTTGCTCTAAATTAAGATAGATATCTTTTAGACAAATTAAAAATCTGCTTATATAATGTTAGATTCTCTTATGGATGGTTTAAGAAAATGACTAGTGAACTGGGTTAAATGTATTTTATTTAAAATTACATAAGAATAGATCTTAACTACCTAGGAGATCTAGCCAGCATTGGAAGGGTTATTCTAACTGTCTGCTAAACTTTACGACCTTACGCTGCACTCTGAGGAATTCTGTTCTTCGCTGTGAAAAGTTTCACTTTCAGCCTGTGTTAAAGATAGTCATAAATAATTCTTGACAGGAAATGCTATTTAGCCATTGTAACGTAATACCCATTTCTTTGTATTGCATACCAATTTATACTGGATATTCATTGATTATTGTCATGCATGTTACATAATATTATTTGTTAATTATTGGTTATCATAAATAAAATCTATTTTTATACATTGTGATATTATTATATGAAATACATTCCACTTAACACGATAAACGTTCTTTGGGATCTGAGAATTGAATTAGTGGGCAATTCTCACTGTTACTATTATTATCCCATAAATATCCCCACAATATGGTTTGTTTGGAAGGGTTGTCAGGAGAAAGACTTTTCACAATGAAAAGAACATGGCAGCATAGCTTGGTTTGCATCTGAACAATCCACAAGATTTTTGGAACAATGTTTGTTGGCCAAACAAGACCAAAGTGAAGATGTTTGGAGGTAATGTACAGCGCCATGTTTGGCAAAAACCAAACACAGCATATCAGCACAAACACCTTACATCAACTGTGAAGCATGATGGGAAAAGAGGATTTGGGCATGTTTTTCAGCCACAGGACCTGGGAACCTTGCCGTCATTGAGTTGACTATAAACTCCTACCAAAGTATTCTAGAGTCTAATGTGAGGCCATCTCTCTGACAGCTAAAGCTTGGACAAAATTTTGTCATGCAATTGGACAATGATCCCAAGCATACCAGAAAATTTATAACCGTATGGCTGAAAAGGAAAAGAATCAAGGTGTTGCAGTGTCTCAGTCAAAGTCTAGATTTTAACCCAAATAAAATGCTGTGGTAGGAACTTAAGAGAGCTATGCATAAGCAAATGCCAGTAAACTTCAATGAATTGAAGCAGTGTTATAAAGAAGAGTGGGCCATAATTCTTCCATAACAATATGGGAGACTGATAAAGTCATACAGAAAACAATTTTATTAAAGGACACAGAGGCTCATATTATGCTTTATCTCTTTCTTTATTCCTCAGTAAAGAAAGGATACTGTAAATATACAAAGTAAAAAAGTTAACATGTACCCTGGAGGGCTAACCACACTTTAACATCTTATCCAAAAGGAATGCCCCTTGTACTATAATGTCCCATGTGACCTTCAGCCAATTTTCTTTCTTTGCTGCTGCTTCCTCAGCTAAATATCACTCCAACTGTCTCTGTATTAAGTTTAGTAATTTTTACCATATATCACTGTATTTGCCTAGTTTATTCAGTGTATCTGTTTGTATTTTGTACTGTTTTGTTTCCTACTGTTTGTTTTCTCTGGGAGCACTACTGGCTCCCTCATTCCCTCACCACAGTTTCCTATTTCCTCTCCACCCCCCTTAGCCTTCTGGTCGGGTTGTTTATTTCCCAACCTATTTCCTCTGCTTGCACGGAACTTGTGACCCTCTTAATGCCGGGTACCGCTATTTCGGCGGCCCCGGTGGGTCGCATCTTCGTGTGTGTGGCAGATGCCACTCGCGCTTGCGCACGTCGTAAGTGCGTATTGCGGTGCCCATCTTACGGTTGGCAGTTTTTTTATGGCCAATATTGCTTGTTTTGGAGCGGGGTTGGGCTGCTTCATTGGCTGTGTTGCTGGGCAGCCTCATGGTGTTCCCCAGGAGCCATTCCTGAGGGAACACTAAGTGAGCCTGTTCTACTTTAGGCATTGTGCCTAGTAGCCTACCTGCTATTCAGCTAAATACTGTCAGTGCCTATATATTCTTTCTCACTGCCACTATAGTACTGTTATCCAGCACTGTGGGTGTGAGCTCCCTATTCTATCCTTAGGATAATTTTCTCATTACTTTTTATCACATTAGAAAACCGCTTGACAAGGTTGCACGGAACAAACTCAGGACAGAATGCCCACGACCTGATCTCCCCGATATGGCATGTACCACGACAAACGTGGACCCAAAAATCACCCAATTCTTGGGCAAAACAGGGTGGAAGGCCAAAAAAGGCCTAGATGTTTCCTTGCGGAACTGCCAGGATAAAATCCTGAATGTCTTGGGACCAATCGCAAAAATTTTCAACATGGTTGAAATAGCCTTAGCAGGTGGTACCCTTGCAGACTTGTTAGCCATCAGGGGGTGGATCCAAGAATTCATAAATTTGCTTGGCAATGCCAATCATAAAATAGAGCTTAAGCTAGTGAATCTAGCTATCTCAGAGCTGGACCACAGGCAAAAGGCCTCCTATTTGGAGAAAACTTTGTTAAGGAGTTAGACACATACGTATGGACCGTCACGACACTTGAGAAGACGCAAGCCAATATGAAGCAAGTTCTCTCCCTGGGTTCATACCTATTTACAGGTCACGCCAGGTTTCTTACACCTGAGCCCAAACCCAATTCACCATTTTTTCCAGGCCAAGGCAGACCTTGACAGTCTCGCGGACCCAGAGGTTCCTCCTATGGCCGATGACCTTATGGTAAGTTCAATTTCATGTTACTTGCCGTCAGTTGCAGTCAAGGGCTGATTAAGACTTTGTGTCAATGCTTGGCGCAGGTTAACCTTAGATGCTTGGGTCCTTGAAAATGTCCTGGGTTATTTCATAGATTTCGTACAAAATCCTCTTCAGAGGTTTTTTACCCAACCGCATTGTGTTCTCTGCACACGACCGATACCTGGTGTTGCAAGAAATACAGTCCCTAGCATCCAAGGGTGCTATCTTGGAACTTCACCCTCAAACCCCAGGTTTCCTGAGCAACCTCTTCCTAGTCCCCAAGAAAGGTGGAGGCATTTGACCTGTCATCAATCTACGACCTCTAGACATTTTTGTCACATACCAACATTTTAAGATGGAGGATATTCACTCTCTTTGAGACCTTCTCCTTTGGAGGATTGGATGGTCAAACTCGACTGACAGGATACATACCTCACCGTTCTGATGGTCGAGGACTCCCAACAATTCCAGGAATTTTCGGTGGGAAAAGAACGTGTGGCAATTCAAATGCCTTCCATTCAGTCTCTCTTCTGCCCCATGGTGCGTCACAAACTACTGAAACCAGTAGTGGCCCTTCTGTGCAGCAGAGGAGTTCGTCTCATGTATATTCTCAATCCATAGAATTCCTGGGATTCACCATAG